TAACATATCCCCCATAAAATAGTAAGCCTTAGGGACAGATGCAGTAATATAACATTCCCTCTTTTTTACCTCCTTCACATGTCTACTCCCACTGAGGATGGTCATTAAAAGTAAGTGCTTGTAAATTCAGAGCCACCTGACCTGCCATAAAAATGTTTTTTTGAGAAACTCATGTAGAAAAGAAGAAAGAGCAGGACTGTTCTCTGGTAGGTACTAGTGGCTTTAGGGAGCTGATTCAGCTAAGTTTGGGTTAATATTCCTGAAGTGAGAGAGAGAACTGTCTTACTCTCAGAACAATTATTAAATGCTCTTACCTTTACATTTGCAATCTGATGGCAGAATAATGCAGCCTCCTAGGGGAAGGGGGAAAAACTCCAGTATCAGGGATATTTAAAATGAGACTGAATAAAAATTGCATGAGGTCCTATATGCAGCAGTCCATTAGTACTGCACTGCAATAAGACCTATCTCATGCCATATGTTCCCTTCTAGAGAAAAGGAATTTTGACCTAAACAAGGGCTACTTCATCATCATGATTATGGCACTATTCTTGAACTCCTGTGAACTCCTATCTGTCTGATTGTTGTAGCCATCGCCACTTTTGCCATTTTCATCCCTGCTGACAATTCCCAGCCTTTTCTTCATAGCACCCTAGAAAGCCATTGGTACTGCTTCAGTCTGCTGGGCACAAATCCATAAGCAGTAGAGAGGGAATTTATATACTTAGCTCCAGGAATTGGCTGTTTCTTGTCCTACCCCCTTACTCCTCATCTCCTAAATGATAGGCACCTCATTTTTATCAGCTATATTTTTGTGGGCATTCCGATTTCTGTATATGTGTGTAGAAATGCCAATCTTGACACATCTTTGTGCAGCTCCAAACCTGCTCTGTACCTGAACAGCCCAGCTACCCAGCCTCCAGCAGTAAGCCCAGACAGCAGAGATCAGGGATGCTGGAGAGTGGCTTTACAGACATGCTCGCAGCAGCAGCCCCCGTTATTTCGCTTTCCTGCTTGAGCTTGGAGATTTGTCTACTAGATCATGAGCGTGTTAGTCCTTTAGGAATGAAGGCAAATCCATGTAGACCATATTTCTGCAGGGTTGGTTGTTCTTAGTGTTTATCCTGTGTGTGACACAGACCATTGCAATTCATGTGAGCCGGAGGGCTTTAATTGGAGCAAAGCATCTGAGTCCTAAAGCAACTAAACTATTTGCCAGCTACAGAGGAGAAAGAAGATGAATGTGCCATTAGTGCCCAAGCCTCACGCAAGGGGAAGGAAATAATTTAAGTGCGGATTTTTCAATGGACCAAGCATGCCCACGAAGTAGGAGGAGGTGAAAACACATTAACCAAAACCCAGGGGGAAATTTCCCTCCCAACTCAAAACAGGCCGAGAAGCGTGACCCTGTGCATGCAATCATCTCTTCCACTTCAAAAACTTCTTGGTGTGTCATTGAGACACGGATGCTGTAGTGGATAGGGAAGAAAATCTCTGGTCACAGCCAGATCCTAGGGGTATATTTGATCTGTATCCTGGCAAAGTCTTTCAGTGCAAATAACAAAAATCTCCTGTAATAAAATGACCAGTTTTTAAGAAGCTGTGCTCGAGGGGTTTTTTCCTAAAATAATCCTGCAGACCTTTCTCCATAACAATTCCATTTTTGGCAATTCTGCTTGAAGAATCTTCCATATGAAATGGGAACATTTGAAGTGAATCATTTAATTTGCTTAACTTAAAGAGGTTCCTACCACATTTAATTTTAAGAAGATTCTCTCTAATTAAAGTTCAAGTCACTCTTAAATATTTAGCCTTGTTAAATGAAGATCCAGGAAAGAAATTGTAATAATCTTTTCATCTTTTGCTTTACCTGAAATATGCCTTTTTTGAATTTTTAACTTTGAAACACCAATTTAATTTGAGCTACCAGCATGAATAATTTCCAGGGTTTCAAGCACAGTTTAGTATTTTAAATTGAAAAGCTAGATCAATTAATTCTGTATTATTTTAGAGACTTTCCTTATAACAGTTTTGCTAGGGGAGAGAAGCAGGGGAGAATCAAATTTCATGTTGGTTGAGTGATCACCTATATGAATGACCAGGTAAATATGCAGCCTACCTATTTTTTCCATGCTTGAAGTATTGGGGAGTTTTTTGGGGATATCCTTGCTGAAGTGTTTTGGTAACTTGACCTCATTGGCCTGTATCCTCAAACTTGCGCACCTAGAAGGCAAGAGTACAAGATCTGTGTTTAGTTTCAGGATTTCAGTGGCATGAATGGTTATGCAGCGGTCTGTGAAAATCAGACCATTTTAGGGGACTCTCCCACTGCAGTCAGTCATCCAGTTCCCATGTGACTAAGCTTGAAAATTTGAACTTGATGTCTATCTAATAAGGAAGTACTGGCTGTTTTCTCATCAGTTCCCTCTCCTTATTTCTTGGCTGGTAGCTATTCATGTTCAGCTGATTTTCTTTTTTTTTTTTTTTTCCCCAGCCTAACTGACTGTGACACCAGACAAATTAGTGAGCATTTTGTCTCCATGATTAATCAGTGAGCTTTCAGTTTTGGCACTGTGTTGTAGCATTGCTTAGAGGATAAATAAATAAATCAATCAGATGTTCCTGACAACTGTAAAATGATTAAGCAAAGGAAAAAAAAAAAAGCCACACAACAAAAAGTTGAATGATCGCTTCATCACTCTTTATTATGAAATCAAAAAGTACATTTTTTTTTTTTTGCCTGGCTAACTGGACATTTGAAGCTCAAGAAGTGGGCCTACGTGAACCTCATGAGGTTCCACAAGGCCAAGTGCAGGGTCCTGCACATGGGTCAGGCAACCCCTGGTATCAATGGAGGCTGGGGAATGAAGAGATTGAGAGCAGCCCTGAGGAGAAGGACTTGGGGATGTTGGCTGATGAGAAGCTCAACATGACCTGGCAACGTGCACTTGCAGCCCAGAAAGCCAACCGTGTCCTGGGCTGCATCAAAACCAGTGCGGCCAGCAGGTCAAGGGAGGGGATTCTGCCCCTCTACTCCGCTCTTGTGAGACCCCCACCTGGAGTACTGCAACCAGTTCTGGGGTCCCCAATATAAGAAGGACATGGAGCTGTTGGAGCAAGTCCAGAGGAGGGCCACGAAGATGATCAGAGGGATGGAGCACCTCTCCTATGAAGACAGGCTGAGAGAGTTGGGGGTGTTCAGCCTGGAGAAGAAAAGGCTCCAGGGAGACCTTGTAGCAGCCTTCCAGTACCTAGAGGGAGCTTATAAGAAAGATGGGGACAAACTTTCTAGCAGAGCCTGTTGTGTTAAGACAAGGGGTAATGGATTTAAAGTGAAAGAGGGTAGATTTAGAATAGATATAAGGAATAATTTTTTTACAATGAAGGTGGTGAAACACTGACATGGGTTGCCCAGAGAAGTGGTAGATGCCCCATCCCTGGAAACATTCAAGGTCAGGTTGGACGGGGCTCTGAGCAACCTGATCTAGTTGAAGATGTCCTTGCTCATTGCATGGGGGTTGGACTAGAAGACCTTTAAAGGTCCCTCCCAATCCAAAGCATTCTATGATTCTATGACGTGTTAACTTTGAATCAACATTACTATTTCCTTTTTCCCACTGGATCTGCTGGTGGTTGTTACATGGGACTGAGAGACTTACTTTATCTGAATTTCTGATGGGTTAAGTTGGAATTGCACTTTCTATTTTGAAGTGTGGTTTTAGTCTGAAACAGAGGATGTGAAAATGGTAATTTCTCTCTCAGTGGATCACAGTCCTGGCTGTTGACCTGAGTGACAAAACCTGCTTTTTCCCTCTTGCAAAGCTGATGCTGTTCAGGGAGACCGCGTTGGCTTTACTTCTGCCTGTTGCCGTATTGCTACATTGCTAACTAGTTGCAAGGGCAAAATCTATTTTCTTTTAGTATCTGGTCAATGTTCTTGTTTCTGATGGTGTTGGACAAGGCAGCTATGGGAAGACTTTTGCCAAAGATTTTTACTTTTTTACAGTCAGGACAGATCTGAGTTTGCTGCCCCCCAGCCTGGTAGCGGCTGCAGGTCCTGCAGCTGCAATATCCTCGTGTGCTCTGAGCAGTTTTGGCCTGAGATCTCTGGGAGGAAAACAAAAGGAGTTCTTCCTATCTCCCAGCTACATTTGTTTTATGTTTTGGAACACAGGGTACAAACGCTGTGCCTGAGTATTTGACCCTGCTTGTCAAACATACAACTTTTCTTGACTTCAGTTAAATTTAAGCCAAGATGTCAGAGGGCAGATTTTGTCCCAGCCCATGCAAAATGGCCATTTTGATGCAATTCAGTTTATTAGGTAAGTTAATGCCAAACATATAAAACTGTGCCCCGTACATATGTTTCTCTATGCATGACCCATAAATACATATATTTACTCAGTTCAGATGGCCGTGAAGGAAGTGTGAACATTTTGACTATTATAAAAATTATAAATAATTCCTGAAATCTTATTCAAGAAAACATGTTTTGTGTGTGTATGCAGTGAGGGGAGAAGGAAGGAGATCCCTTGAGGTTCCTCCTGAAGAGATAAGAAACAAAATGCATCCAGCTCCCTTAGCCAGCCCCTGACTTAGAGAAATGCAACCTTGTTGAACACCATACTTGTCCCATATTATCAGTCTGAGTTTTGTTTCAAGTAAAATATATTCTCCGTTATCAGCATAATTTCCATTCTATCATTTGTAATGGTGACTGAAAATAAGTAGATACGTGAAGTATGCCAGCAGTCAGCTGAAACATTTCCCTTATCCTCACTTCCATAAATTTGTATCTGAAGGCATCTGTTTTTCTAAAACTGCTCTGTCTGCCTGATGACACAGCAGCACAAAATATTGCCATGGGTCGGTATAGCTCTCCATTCACACCTAACAAATGAGTGCCCTGAAAACTCCTCTCGAAATGCCATTGTCAGGATACTTTGTGTTCTCAAGGTCAGCCTGTTTCCTAACCCCTGTGTCCTTTTCCTTTCTTTCAGGGTTTTGAGGACCCCAAGGACAAGTAAGCAAATTTACTTCTGTCATACACTGTTATGTTTGCACATCTGGGATTTTTTTTTCTCGTATTAAAAAAAGACAAAAATTAATACCCAGCAGCCAAGAATAATGCCTGGACTCCCCAGAGTTTTCTCCTGGAGGGACAGCCATTTGAGGGCACAGGATTGACTGATGTGCATTCAGAACTGCCGCTGCCCTCCAAACATTTATTCGTTTGGGTGGTTCTAACTTGCTTTTGTAATTAAAATGCTGTTACTGCTCTTCCCCTTGCCCCCAATATTCTTCGCTATTTGCTGCTTTGAAAATACCGCAAGAACAAAATCTTGCTGTAAATTGTGTCTAAGTATTGAAATGTGTGTGTATATATATATTTTGAGTTTATTTGTATATATTTTATAGTGTCATTATTACATATTATGTATATATATAAAAAGATCAACTCAGAAATGACAGCTTATTTGAAAAAGTAAATTCAAACTTTCATGCTCTAAAATACAGCTGCATTAAAGCAGCATTTTCATTTTTTCACATAGAAGTTTAAAAAAAATAGATAAAATAACAATTTAACAAGAGGGGTATTTTGAAAAATTACTTTTGGAGGAGAAAAACCCAACCATGTTCACTTTTTAACTTCTACAGCTGGACATAACAAAAGCATTTCCTGTATTGAAGATGTTTGGAATAATTTCACATTCAATCCTACTGAATGGAATTAATTGTAAGCTTGCTCAGAGCAAGATAGGTGACAGTAGAGGAGACTAATGCCTAAAATATGTTGCTATTGCTCCTTATCATGTTTCTCTCAGGCTGCCAGTTGGGACTAAGCGGACATCTCTGATCTGGGACAGCTAAATGCTTCTGTGGGCCCTACGTATCCAGCTTTGGGAAAATTCACATTATAGTGGTTGAGCATTAAGAGTAACTCCCTGAAAGTGAAGTGATAAGTTTGAACGTGGCACTATTAAGAATCATTCTCTCCTGCCCTTGCCCTTCACTGCAGACTTGATTTTCATAACATTTAGCTCTGTGCACCCTGGGATGTTTCTCTGGTCCTGCAAAGTGTTTTGGGGAGTCACCAGGGTTTCTTGTTGCATCCATGGCTGCTGGGAACTCAAGCTGATGTTAGATATGCTTTGGACAGAAAAGAGCTAACAGATTACAACAAAATAAGTCTTAGGAATACAGAGGTTTTAACTATCCCTCATGAAATAGCATCTCTCCTCATAGTTTGTGCAAGAAAACATAAATTCAGTGTTGGTCCACAACAGAGTCACGCAGTTGGTAAGGAATGGCATCTCCACTGTTGCTCCAACGACCATAATGTCCCTCCTCTGTCCTATAGTTTGAAAATGTTACTTGAGCTTTTACAGCCAATAACTAAGAGCTGTGTATTATTTACAGTGCTGATTCAGTGTGATGCCATCTTATTATACAGATTGCAGGATTTTTGTGTTTCTGTTCAGCACCAAAAGAAGCTACAACTTGCCTCAGTTTCTCTTGATCCAGAAATCTGTTTAACTCAAGAACGAAGATTTGGCCAAAAAAAAATCTCTAGCAGAAAATGTTAATGGTGATATTGGTTAAAATCAGATACCTAAACCATGTCAAGCACTCAACCCTTCACGTGCAGAGACACTGAGCATCAATACTTTTACAGCGAAGGAAAACGTAGGCACCATGCGTCTGTGAAAACAGGATGTGACGCTTATGTGCCTAAATGCAGATTTAGTTATTGAACCTACGCATGAAACATTTCAAATTATGGCATACATGTAGTTTTGGCAGTGGTCACGCTCTTCATTTGGAGAAGGTAATTAAATCAGCAGAACATTTTTGGACTACTTTGAAGCCAGCATCTCTGGGTTAATTGCTGGCTTTCACATTTGCAAGCAGAGTGCAAAAGTCACTCCAAGGTCTGGTCGTGCTGTTCCTGTCCCTTGCAACAATTCTCTGTTGGCTGCATTTGGAGAAATCTCAGCAGTGCTTTTAAAAGGTATTTCTGGAAGTTTTGTGGTGGGCTGAAATCCTTGGTTTTCCCAACATGTACGCTATCAATGTATCAATAAGTATTTCCACATATGAATTTCATTAGTCAATGGCAATACCTCAGCTCTGACTTAGAGGCACTACCTCCAGGACACTCCTTAGCATGGGGAAATTTTGTATTTCAGTTTAAAATTACATATATGGGAACGTACTCAAACTCGCTGTATAGTAATTTAATTTGAGTGTAACTGGCTGCGAAAGTCAACCGAATAGCTAGGTATATGTAAGGTGACCGTTTCCCTGCAGTCTACGTGAAGGTGGCTGTCTCACTGCGAATGTCCCAGCAGGCCAATTTAAAACCTGCAGGGGTATTTACACAATCTGCAATCACAGAAATTATTGTAGTGTTAGAGATACCCTCAGCAGTATAGTGACCTATTACAAAACTGGAGGCAGCCGAGGCCAAAGCCCAAGCAGGCAGTTTCTTCTTCTCTTCACATCTTCCTGAATGACGCTTTTAGATTGGAACTTGAAATTTAACTGAGGTTTGCGAAAATGCTGAGCTGGCTCTTTTGCTTCGGTTCTAGGGGAAAACGTATTGCGTCTCTCGTACATGGCATGAAATGACTAAATGTGAATGACCCAAATGTGTAAATAACTTGCAGTGTCTTGGAAGACTTTCTGTAAATACGAAGCCTAATGATTTCCGTGCTCATTTTTATGAGTCCAGAAGAGATTGTGAGGACTGAATGAAAATAAGCAGCATTGTCTTGAATGCTCAAGCAGATGTGCTTCCTCTAAGGAAGCGTCTAGAAGTAAACCGAATGTCCTGTCCTTCTAGGAACAAAACCACTTTTCATTTCAGAGTGGAATATATGAAGTTTAAGGAACTAAATAACTCTAGAGCCCCAAAATAAAAACCCCTTTTCCCCAACCCCACTGAAATATTAAGGTTGGCTAAAATAGGGATAAGACCTTGAGACAAATTACCATATGGTCAGTAAATAGATGCTGATGGTGTGTTGTCATGACCCATCTGAGGTGTAGACCCATTCAACTCCCTGGCTGGGGCAAAGGGAGTTGGAGTGGAAACAAGTAGATGGATCTGATTTATTTTTCTCTTGGCAAGAGGTATATGGTAGAGTTGGGGTACAGAGGGCTTCTCGAAATCAGGTCCAGTTTTGCAGAAGGCTTTTGGAGAGCCTTTCTTTCAGAAAGGGACCTTTAGCTTTTAAAAGAGTCACATTCTGTTTTGTAAGCTGCTTTGAGTAGTCTCCACTCGACAGCACAGTCATTCCTGTAGGGACCTGCTGGCTGCAAGACAGCATGTGTGCAATATGCGCTGTTAGGCATAAAATAAAACCCAGAAAATAAAGCAGCGTAGCTTTTCATCGTGCTTGTCAGACCTCGGGATTTTTTCTCAACAGCCTAAGGTGAAGGTCACACAACATGAGCCGTAAGTTGCTGTGCCATCATGGGCTCTGCACATAGAAATAGTCATCCACCAGAATATGCCCCAGTGCAAGTGGGGAGCGTATTCCAATGGATAACTATTGGCATATCCCATGGACAACCTTGGCAATCATGCAAGCAGAGCAGAAAAACAGCATTTCAAGATTAGCTTTTAATTTCTGCCTATAGCTAATTTTAAGGCAGACCATTAAAGTGACACCATCGAGTCATTAATATCCTGTTAGATTTTAAAAATAACTAGAGAGTTTGGGGAGGTGCTTCAGGTTTCCTGATGCTCAGTGCAAAATGCCTCAGGGCGATTAAGTTTTCAGTGTTATTTTTTTCAACAGTTTTTTAAAATCAGCCTCATTTTTCCGAAGCTGTAGCTGAGCATCAGAAATACACTGATACTAAAGATTATAAGCAATTTAGAAATTGTGTTCCACATATTTAGAAAGAAGAATCTAATTTGTATTTTTTTCTTTTGCTACCTTTTTATTTTGGAAGCTTTCCTTGAGTTAAGTAAGTCTCTTGTAAACAGTAAATAACTGTCTAAAGGGGTAGCAGTGGGGCGTCAGGCCACTTTTTTTCCCCCAAATGTTCATTCGGTGAACAATTTTTTCTCAAAAATGGAGAATTGTTCAAGTTCAGAAATTTTCACAGAAATATTTACAGAAATTATTATTGGGAAGCAAGAAATATGACTCGTTACATAAAAAATTTTGCTAGTTCAGGCAGTAACAGCTATGGCAGCACGGCAGTGCAGGGAAGACTAAGTCAGAGGACTAGTGGAAGGAGACTACTGATCGGTTTTAGAGAAAAAAGGGTGGTAAAGAGACTGCAAAGCAAGAAAACTGATGGATGTAGTATAGAGAAAGGGCAAGTAAATGAAATCCTTTCACTAGTGGACTCAGGACTGGCAATGAACTCTAGAGCTGATATCATTTTCAGCTCATAATCTGTTTTCCAACTTGAAGCTGTCATAAGCAAAATGCCATTAACCTCCAGCTTGTTATACAGTGAAATGATAATATGTGGTGAAGAGGCGGAAATTATCTTGTCCTCTTATGCTCCCTTTTTGTGACATCCTCAGGAACACACAGGAAAGCATGAACCCAGAAGATGAAGTGGATGAATTTCTGGGCCGTGCCATCGATGCCAGAAGTATTGATCGGTTACGCTCTGAGCATGTGCGCAAGTTCCTCTTAACTTTCAGGGAGCCTGACTTGGAGAAAAAGGTAATGTTGTCTAAAAATTATTGCAACGTGTCAGGCTTGTTATGAGTTTTTATTCTCCTGCATAAGGTCAAGCTTTTATGTCTGTAGGTAAAGCTAGGTTTTAGGTGTTGGAGGTGGGGTTGTGGTCTTAAAAAAACCCGTGCTTCTTCATGGAAACGTTAATATACATGTCTCTAGAAAGTCGCAGTCTTCTCAAGGGAGCACTGGGCAGAAAAACCATGTAATTTCTGTCAGACACATGTGAATATGCAATGATGGGCTCTAATGGGAATCCAGAATAAGCCACCTTTGTTTCTTTGACTTTGAGGCATCCAAACTGAGATTGCAGTCACCCCTTATCTCCCTCAAATCACTGAAGAAACCTGCTTCAGCCTGCTTGAGTTCTGAATTACCTCTGGGGGGGTCTTTTCCCTGCCCTTTGTGCCCCCCCAGGTACTATTATGGTTCATTGGGATGCGATTATACTCTGGTCATTTTTGGGAGCCCATTGTAAGCAACAGGTAGAGTTCTGTATCTCACAAATGTGAGAAAGGGGATTAACAGATCTAGGGCTCCCGAATAGCTGATTGCTTCCTGATTTTGTTTCAGATATCATTGTTGTGAGGCAAAGATCAGTTCAATTTCTCTGTCTATATAATAGAGACAGCATCAGCTCTAGATGGCTGCAGAGTTAAATTCAGTTAAGTCCAGAGGTACCCAGATGCCATTATTAAGGGTACTATATAAGCTGCTGGGTTTTTTGCTCCAAGAAAGTCTAAGTCATCTTTTTTCTTTTTTATCCAAGCACAGATCCTTGGGATACTTGAGTGGTCTTCAGGTTAAACTCATTATTCAATGGAAAAAGCTTCAGTAATATGTTTGCACTGATTA